GAGCTGGGAGTAACCCTGAACATTGTAGGGTGTGGCTCCCAAGCTTTTGTTATATATAAAGAGCTTCCGTAAAACATCTTATTATCTTGTTCTTACTTTGGACAACCTGGCAGGCTACGGAATGTAGCCTGCCCACACGGCAGAGTCTGGCAAACTCCCCGTGGCATACCCAATATGCCAAATACCAGTAACAATGATGGGTCTCATTCTCCTAACCCTGAAAGAGCCTTGAATATGGCATATTTAAAAAAATCTCAGGGCTAGGACGAAGGAGACGTTACTGGTGCCTGCTCAATGGAATCGACGAACAACAGGATGATCATTATTGTGATCCATAAAACAGTAATTTTGGGGGCTGCAGCGATAGCACAGCAGGGAAGGCGTTTGCCTTGCACGTGGCCTACCCAGGTTCGATTCCCAGCATCCCATATTGTCCCCTGAGCACCGCCAGGAGTGATTCCTGAGTGTAAAGCCAGGAGTAACCCCTGTGCATCACCAGGAGTGACCAAAAAGCAAAAAAACAAAAACAAAAACAAACCAGTAATTTTTTCTTTTTGTGAGGGACCACATCCAGCAATGCTCAGGAGTTACTCTTGGTTCTGCACTCCGGATCACTCCTGGTGGTGCTTGGGGATCATATGGAATACCGGGGTATCAAACCTGGGTTTGCTGCATGTAAGGCAAGTGCCCTGCCCACTTTACTATCTTTCTGGCCCTAAAACAGTAAGATTAATAGCAGCAGCCTAATAGGAAAATTAGGTCAAGGATATATAAATATATATATGATGGTTAATGTTTTAAAATGAACAGATAAATAACCTCACTGAGATGTGATAAGTACAAACTAAAAATCTGATGAGGCACTATTTGTCACTAGTCGTGTGTGGCAAAGAGAAAGAAATGATGACCAGGGGCTGGAGTGATATAGCACAGTGGATAGGGTGTTTGCCTTGCATGTGGCCGACCCGGGTCTTATTCCCAGCATCCCATAGGGTCCCCTGAGCACCGCCAGGAGTAATTCCTCAGTGCAGAGCCAGGAGTAACCCTTGAGCATCTCCGGGTTTGACTCAAAAAGCAAAAAAAATAACAAAAAGAAATGATGACCAGGGATGGAGAGATGGTAGAGTGAGGCAGTTGCTTGATGGGAAGCACCCCCTGTTTGCACTGCTGAGTGCGGCCCCCCAAACAAAAGCAAACAAACATAAAAAAGAAACAATGAGCAAATATACTGCTAATGTGAAAATAAAAGAGTTACTCCCATCCATCGCTGTGGCAAGGTCAAGTAGTACAACCTTCCTTGGAAAGGTTTAATGACACCAGTTAAAGCATTTTGAGTAATGCTGAGGAGCACTAATGGTATAACTTTCAGTTTAAAACAAAATACAAAACATATACAGCACAGAATAAGTAAAAGACTATTGGGAGAAAACACATCAAAGCAGTAAGAAGGGCCAGAGATATAGTACAGGGCTCAGAGAGGCAGGCCAGGGGTAAGACACCACATATGGTCCCAAGAGTGATCCCTGAGCACAGAGTCAGGAGTAAGCTATGAGCACTACTCACGCCCCCCCCCCCCAAATTTCCCTAACAAATCTACTTCTAGATCTATGAAAATAAAACAGGTACTTCTCACTTAGTTCTTGAAACTAGTTGATTTTTTTTTCTTTTTGGGTTACACCTGGCGATGCTCAGGGGTTACTCCTGGCTTCACAGTCAGGAATTACTCTGGGCAGTGCTCAGGGGACCATATGGGATGCTGGGAATCGAACCCAGGTTGGCTGCATGCAAGGCAAAGGCCCTACCTGCTGTACTATTGCTCCAGCCCCAAAACTGTAGCACTGTCGTCCCATTGTTCATCGATTTGCTCGAGCGGGCACCAGTAACGTCTCCACTGTGAGACTTGCTACTGTTTTTGGCATATCGAATACACCACGGGGAGCTTGCCATGCTCTGTTGTGCGGGCAGGATACTCTCAGTAGCTTGCCAGATTCTCCAAGAGGGACAGAGAAATCAAACCCGGGTCAGCCGTATGCGAGGCAAACGCCCTACCCGCTGTGCTATCACTCCAGCCAGCCCCCAAACTAGTTGACATTTTCAAAATTGATGATAAGCCTATAGAAAAAGTGCCAGGGCCAAGCGGGATGAGAGCTTACAAGGGGCCACAGTTTAAACTGAAGATGTTTACATTCTACATGATTAGGCCTTAGTTGAGTCTGACTGACACACCAGGGGCAAACTGATAGGCTCACTCGCAGGCATTTGCAGTAAGAATGTGCTGGAAAGCTGTTGTATTTGCAATTACAGACCCAGTGCTCCTAAGGAAACCCAGACCCAGTGCTCCGAAGGAAACCCAGGCCCAGGCTCCTGGGTGCCTCTGACCACAATGTTCTCACTGAACAATCCAGATATAACCTGCTTTTAGGTGTGTTTCTGTTTAAAGATAACTTAGGGAACATAGCTTGTTGCTCGACACTGACCTCGTACACGACACATTCCAACACATGCCTCAAGGCAGTTTCTCTAATACACAGTTTTTCCAGAAGGTGCCTGACAACCTTTCTGTGCCAAGGAATACTGACAGACATCTCAGCACTATGTGTGGAGGTCATTGGCACCCGCACAAGGAATGTGGAAAATGTGACACCAAGTAGACCCCATGAAGGATGTTTATTGGTAGGAGAACTGAAATGGGACAGAGTATGGATTTGCTCATCTTCAGCGAGGCAGGTGCCTTTGTGCTGCTCTGCATTTGCCCGCAGAATTTGACAGAAGTACCACGTGCATAGATATCAGGGTTGCAAATAGATTTTAGAGAACAGGTGAATACACTTAAGTAGAATACACAAATAATGAGGAAGGACTATAATTACCAATATAGCTTTCTGAGAAATAGAGGCAACTCCTGGAGGTACTTGGGACTCATGCAGTGCCAGAGACTCAGAGCTTTGTGCTCTACCATTCGAACCACATGCCCGTTCTTCAAAGCCCTTATAAATATAGCTCTAGGGAAAATACATGCTCAAAAGAAATGAACCAATGCTCTAGAGCTGAAATTCTTTGTGGAATAAAGTTGAGGGGAAACCCCCCCCATGTATGAAAGTTTATCTCCCTTCAAATATTGGAAAGGAAAGAAAAGGGATTCATCAGTCATTGTATTTAATAGAGTCGTCATCTTCGGAAAAAAATCTTCATGTCATTATCCAGTTAGACTCAACCCTTAATGACCAAGCATTTCTACCTGGAAAATGAGGTATTGTGGGGGAATTATCTCCCATTAAGCAATTGCCAGTCTTCCTGGGCAAGTTAAGCAAGTCTGAAGCAATATCTAACACTAATCCAAGGCAAACAATGGGGCTGAATGCACCAGAAAGGTCTAAGATGCATGAGGCTTGTGACAACACAACGCTCTGGGAATCTAATGAAGGGAAAAGTGTAACCTTTGGGGAATGGTCTAGAAAATTCAATGGAGGTAGTATATCTGAAAAGACACAGGGTGACAAGAAGGTGCTGGTACTGGAATCAGAAGAACACAGTGGGTTAATATATTTAGGATCTGGGTCAAAGCACAAAATCCCCCAGATGACAGCAGAGGACCGGAAGGCGAATGACTTAGCAGGATCCTTCATAACGTCTCTGGAAGTGTCTCGATTCAGTCTACCTGCTCATCTTCCACACCCATACCCACATGCCCCCTGTTTTTTTTTTTATTTTGGTCCACACCTGACTGTGCTCAGGGCTTACTCCTGGTTCACTCCAGGGATCACTCCTGGAGGGTTCTGGGGATCGAATCTGGGTGGGATGTGTGCAAGGCAAGTGCACTGCCTACTGTACCATTGTTCCAGACCCATCTTTTACCTCCTTAACTGGATTGCAAACAGAAAGCAAGCTGGGGGTCACACCTCATTCGTCATTAGCATCCCTCTCTCTGCCTTCTGCCCACGTTACTCCACACAAAGTACACACACCCCACAATACAAAAGATCACCCAACACCAATGCCTGCCTGTTATAGCTTTCAACAAACATTTACTCAATCACTGACATTGTAAACATCTTAAATCTTTTTAAATCTTTGTCATGTTTTGTTCAAGAAACAGTCAAATTTTATAACTGGGAAGTAACTGCCCCTCTATTTTCCCAGGTATCTGTATGTACAGACAATGGAAACCTTCCAAAGTGCCATGCTAGGGGCTGGAGTGATAGTACAGCAGGTAAGGGCTGCACGCCTTACTCGCGGCCAATCTGGGTTCGATTCCCAGCATCCCATATGGTCCCCTGAGCACCGCCAGGAGTAATTCCTGAGTGCAGAGCCAGGAGTAACCCCTGTGCATTGCCAGGTGTGACCCATAAAGCAAAAACAAAACAAAACAAAAACAAAAGTGACATGCTATTACATTACACATTTGTATTTCTAAAACTGAAAATATATGTTGAATGGAATCTGTAAATTTTAGTTAAATTACGTTAAAATCTAACTTGCTGGCTTATTGTGCATTTTATTCCCTTGATTTTAAAACCTGTAGAGACAGGTTTAAATAGTATTCTCAGATAATACTTTTGGGTTTAACATATTAGAGAATGTTTGGTTAAACATTTCTGAACATTCTGAAAGACAAACAAGGGTCTACATAAAATTATTTAAATAACATCCTAAATTGTTTCTTTTATATACAAAACTACTTTAATTATGTAAGTATATTATAAAGCCAATTTTTGTTGTTCATTAACTGCTCAAATGGGAATGTGTCCAGTGGAACAAAGTCAGAGGATTGAAAACAGTCAACTCTGAAATATAGTTTATAGTTTATATAGTATATAGTATGGTATAGTTTATGTAAAAAGATGCTACAATTCTATAGTTGACAGTACATAGTTATAAACTATACATTTTGTTTCTTATTGTTTCTAAAATTGAGTTTTCTTATAGAAGCAATTATTAAATTTAGTAACATAGGTAAGGTATATAAAATATTTATTTTTCAATCAAATTCTTTTTCTTACTGTTTCAAATCCTCGATGTGGGTGATCGGGAAATCCAGCTGGTCTACCACCTGTAAACTCATCCAACAACAGAAACGGATCCAGATTTTTTAACTGAAATAAAAATAAAATTCGGCAGATTAGACATGTCTATTAAGCCACACTTTTTAAAAAAATTTTTATTAGTGAAACACCATGAGGTACAGTTGTAGACTTACACTTTTTTTGTGCTTGGGTTTCAATTATACAATGATCGAGTACCCATTCTCCACCACCACTGATCCCAGTATCCCTCCCACCCCCCATCCCCCCATCCCACCCTACCTCTGTGGCAGGGCATTCCCTTTTTTTCTCTCTCTCCTTCTGGCTGTTGTGGTTTGCAAAAGAGGCATTGAATGGCAGTCATGTTTGGTCTATAGTCTACTTTCAGCATGCATCTCCCATCCTGGGAGGATCCTCCCAACACCCTTTATTTGGTGCTCCCTTCTCTATCTGAGCTGCCTTTTCCCCTAGCATGTGCGGCTGGCCTCCAAGCCATGGAGTGAACCTCCTGGTACTTATCTCAGCTATTTTTGGGTGTAAGTCTCCTATTTTGTTACTTTATGTTCCCCAGATGAATGCAATCTTTCTATGTCTGTCCCTCTCTCTCTGACTCATTTCACTTAGCATGATACTTTCCATGAAGTACCACTTGTATGTAAATTTCATGACTTCATCTTTTCTAACAGCTACATAGTACTCCATTGTGTAGATGTACCAAAGTTTCTTTAACCAGTCATCTGTTCTCGGATATTCAGGTTTTTTTCCAGATTCTGGCTATTGTAAACAGTGCTGCAATGAACAAACAAGTGCAGAAGATGTGTCTTTGACTATACTTTTTTGCCTCTCTGGGATATATTCCCAGGAGTGGTATTGCTGGGTCAAATGGGAGTTCAATTTCTAATTTTTTGAGAATCGTCCATACTGTTTTCCAGAAGTAAGCCACACATCTTTTTTTAAAATTTTTAATAGTGAGACATCATGAGGTACAGTTACAGACTTACCCATTTTTGTGCTTGGGTTTCAATTATACAAGAGCCCGGCAAGCTACAGAGAGTATTCGATACGAGAGTATTCGATATGCCAGACACAGTAACAACAAAGTCTCCAATGGAGACGTTACTGGGCCCGCTCGAGCAAATCGACGATCAATGGGAGGGCCTTTACCTTACCTTTTTACAAATGCCCATCCCTCCACCAGTGCCCATTTCCCACCACCACGGATCCCAGTATCCCTCCCCCCCCCATCCCACCCTGCCTCTGTGGCAGGGCATTCCCTTTTGTTCTCTCTCTCTTATTGGGTGTTGTGGTTTGCAAAAGAGGCAATGGGTGACAATCATGTTTGGTCTATAGTCTACTTTCAGCATGCTTCTCCCATCCTGGGAGGCTCCTCCCAACACCTTTATTTGGTGTTCCCTTCTATATCTGAGCTCCCCTTTCCCCTAGTATGTAAGCCACACATCTTAAGGTTACATTCAGAATAGATCTAGCAAAACTCCTTGAAAACTGTATACCCAACGTGCAACTTCTTGCAGTAAAAACTGCTTACAGGAAAGAACTTGTACATACCATACAGGCTCAATTAGAATTGACATTTTATGAGGAGCTTGAAAAGTGGACAGACATCTTATGATGATCTAAAACTGCAAGGCGCTTTCAAGCACAAAGCAGATACAGTCTGCAGTCTAAAGAGATTCATAAACTCTAGTGGGGGGTGTGGTCAGACCAGAAAATCAGTAATTGCCCCGTGATGATAAATGTCCTAGAGGAAGAAAACACATCTGAGAAAGAGGTGAGATCAAGGAAGGTCTCAGCAGGAAGATGGTACCTGAAATGGGGTTTAAGCATATGTAGGGCTTAATCAAGTAGGAGGAAGAGAAGCAATATTAGTAAACTAACAGAGAAATGGCTTGGCAAGCTTGAAGACTTGCAAAGAAATGAGTGTCCTGAAGTAAAAGACACATATGAAATGTTAATGAGAGAGGGGCTTAAGGCAGAGGCTAAATATTAAGAAGTTGTGGGTTTTCTGCTGAAGGTGGTGGGTTTTCATCAAAGACTGACATTATTATAGGTCACTCTAGCACATATGTGGGAGACAGTTTGGAAAATGAAGATGGAAGACAAGGAGTAAGCAGAAAGTCATTCCAATAGCCCGGGTAATGACAGAAGCCAGGACTAAGGCAATCACAATAGAGATGAAGGATGGCAGAAAGAAAAAGAATTAAGTGATTCCCAGATTCCTTGTCATGGTAGGATGTCATGATTCTTGCTGGTAGGATATCAGAGCTGCACAGAACACAAAGGATGTAACAGAAGAAGTAACCTTGAAATAGCCCTGGTGACTTCATTTCCGGTCAAATAGAGTTTGTGACAACTGCATAAGTGTTATCTGTATCAATGGAATTATGACTTTTCAGTGCTCAGTGGGCTACAGCAATGAGAAGGCCACTGATATATGAATCTTTTTTTTGCTTTTTGGGTCACATCCAGCAATGCACAGGGTTACTCCTGGCTTATGCACTAAGAAATTACTCCTGGCAGTGCTCGGGGGACCATATGGGATGCTGGGAATCGAACCTGAGTTGGCCTCGTGCAAGGCAAACGACCTACCCGCTGTGCTATCGCTCCAGCCCATGAAATATGAATCTTTGAGCTTAATGGAAGGATGAAATATGTCAGCAACACCTTTATAGTTTCTCATGACTTACCCATGTTTCTTAGTGTATAAATTTTAGAAAATAAAATTTTTTATGAGCAAAACATTGGTACCCTTAATTGGAATTCCTTGAAACTATGGAGAACTTTGGGAAGAACTGAATTTGAGGTTTTCCTATGCACAAATGTGATTATCTCTTTGTATTCTGGTGTTTTTAAAATGTCTTTCAATAGGAGTTATGATTTTTTTTCTTCACAAGGATTTTGCATATATTGATATTTCTTTGTTAAAACATACTTTGAATGGTATGATAAATAATAATTTCAAAGTATATGTCTGCTGGCAATCAGAAAGCAAATAGGTGGTTCTGCATGTTGCTAAACTCATAAATTCAACTATGTCTTTCTTTGTTTTTAAAATAGACTTGTTAATAAACTTTTGCCCCGAAGTTAATGAACTATTTTTTGTTTTCATAAGAGAGTAAAGCTGAAAAGGCTACAGTTCGTTGGGGTCCAGCTGTCCCCTACATATCTTCTCATTCTGGGTCCCAGTCTCAAGCAGTGACAATTGTTTAAGAGAGATTATTCTCATAACCCTGGGGAGGAGCTAAAGTGAGCAAAGGTAACCAAGCAGATCAGGTACTGCATCCCACTGATTAAAGCATGTGACATGGGGCTGGAGCAATCACACAGTGGGTAGGGCATTTGCCTTGCACGCAGCCGACCTGAGTTCGATTCCCAGGATCCCATATGGTCACCCGAGCACCACCAGGAGTAATTCCTGAGTGCAGAGCCAGGAGGAACCCCTGAGCACTGCCAGGTGTGACCCTCCCAAAAAGAGCAAAAAAAAAATTTAAAGCATGTGACATGTTCAGGCGCAAAGTCAGGCAGGAAGAGAGCACTGAACCCATCTCTTTGAGGTTTATGAGTAACATTCCTAAATGTGGGTGGGAACCCATAATCCTATTAAAGGGAGGGATCCAATATTTGGGGGTTATATGCAAACCAACGCCCACCAGCAAATAACTAGCTGCAGTTTCTATTCTCTCATTTTTCAATCCTTCTACTCTCTTTTTCCCCTATTTTTTTCCAAGCTAGCACCTCTACAACAATATTGAGTAGAAAATGATAACAGACACCCTTGTCTTTTTCTCTGGGTGGGGGGACCCAGCTGTGCTCAGCAATTATTCCTGTGCTCAGGTGACCAAATGAGGTGTCAGAGATTGATCCAAGATGTGCTTGTTTTATCTCTGACTTTAAACAGATGGATATTTTGAGGCCAGAGAGAGAGTCCAGTGAGTAGAGTATTTGCCTTGCATGCAGTCAGACATGGATTTGATCCCTGGTGCCCCATATTGTCCTCCAAACGCCATTAAGAATGATCCCTGAGCACAGAGTCAGGAGTAATCCCCGAACATTGCCAGGTGTGGACCCTAAACCAAAACCAGACAAATAGGTGGATGTTTTAAGTTTCACTTTCATCCAATTGCTTATTGCAGGTTTTCTGAAGAAGCTTATCATTAGTTTATGGAAATTCCTTTCTACTTAAGTATACTAATAATTTTTAAACATAAAACGATGATGAATTTTATTGAATGATTTTTCTGTACAGTTTGAGATACCACTTTTCTCTTTAACCCAATGTTGATACCTGATAGATTTTTCTAACTTTAAAACAAATTTGCTTCCTTGAATAATCTCATCTTGGTCATGAAATGCTAGCTTTGATACACATTGCTATGTCTGGTTGATTAATATTTTGCTATGATACTTGCAAAATGTTTATACATGAGCTGCAATAAGCTTTTCACCTGCTAGCATCCTCTGAGCTTGGCAGCAGAAAGTGATGGAACTCCCTGGGGCTTCATCTTCTGGAGAGCCTGCATTAGAATTATGTGTACTTTACATATTCAGGGCTGGAGCAATAGCACAGCAGTAGGGCATTTGCCTTGCATGCGGCCAACCAGACAGACCGGGGTTCAATTCCTCCGCCCCTCTCAAATAGCCCAGCAAGATACCGAGAGTATCCTGCCTGCATGGCAAAGCCTGGCAAGCTGCCCATGACGTATTTGATATGCCAAACACAGTAACAAGTGTCACAATGGAGACGTTACTGGGCCCGCTTGAGCAAATTGATGAATGACGGGAGGACAGTGACAGTGACATATTCAGGAAGATTTGTCTTTGAAACCATCTGGGACTATGGTCTTCAGGGTACTGATTTTATTATTCTCAAGGCAGAGGTCAGAGCTAGACTACAGCGGGTAGAGTGTTTGCTTTGCACGTGGAGCCCCTGAGTCTGCCAGGAATAATTTCTGAGTGCAGAGCCAGAAGTAACCCCTGAGAATTTCTGGGTATGACCCCCCCAAACAAAGAAACCAAACAAATGAACAAAAATTATTCTCACAAAAAATAAAATTAAATTAGAATCAAATAAAAATTATTCTCACGGCTAGAAAACCATGTTGATTTTCTATTACTTTATTCTTTCTTATCGTTATTAGAATTTCTCTTTCTGTTAGCTTAGCTAATTAATCTTTTTGTTATTTATCTGTGATTGTCTATTCTGATTCTTTCAGATCATCTGCCTGGTCACAATACTGGAAATGAAAGTACCAAGTCTTTTATTTTCTCTCTTCTTTGGCTATTTTGGGGAAATGCCTACACACTTTGGAGCTGATCTCAGCCCAGTGTTTGTCCCAGTTCAATATTAAATACTAGTTCAGGGCTGAAGATAGAGTTAAACAGGCTGAGCGCATGCTTTGTTTATGGGAGTCCCAGCTTTAAATCTTTTTTTGTTTTTGGCTTTTTGAGTCACACCAGGTGATGCTCAGGGGTCAGTGCTGGCTCTTCACTCAGGAATGATCCTGACAGTGCTCAGGGGACCATATGGGATGACGGGGATCAAACCCAGGTTGGCCCACATGCAAGGCAAACACCCCCCATGCCGTGCTATCACTCCTGTCCCAGAAGTTCCAGGTTTAATCCCCACCATTGGGTGTGGCTCAAACCCTTTCCCCAAAAAAGTAGTTGTAAAACAATTCAAATATTTATTGAGTTCTCTCAAAAAGGGAGCCTCAACTTAAAGGTATGGTTTTAGGGACTGGAGTGATAGTACAGCAGGTAGGGCATTTTACTTGCACATGGATCACCTGGGTTCAATCCTCAACATCCCATATGGTCCCACAAGCTTGTCAGGAATGATCCCTGAGCACGGAAGTAGGAGTAAGCACTGCCCGAAAGTAACCTTCTCCCCCAACAACAAAGCTAGGTAGTACAGGGGTTAAAGTACTGGTCTGGCATGTGGCCAACTCGTGTTCAGTCCCTCACACCATATATAGTCCTCTGAGTACCACCAGGAGTGACTCCTGAGCACAGAGCCAGGAATAAGCCCTGAGCCCGGTCAGGTGTGCCCCCCAAATAAAACGGTGCTCGTAAACCCCCCTAGTCCTCTCCAAGACATTTTCTCTCACTTTAATGGCTGATTTCACACCACCGAGAAGCAGCTCCTCCCTATTTTCCTCCTCCCTGCCCACTGTCAGACTTTCCTCTAGCTTCTAGCTTCTGCCTCTTCAGGGAACATCAGATCTCCTTTCAGTCTTGTGCTGTCACTCGGAGATCCCTCTCAGCACTATGGAAACCCAGGGAAAATGGAACTGAGCTTGGGAAACGAGGTTGCAAATTCTGACCATCATATATATATTTTCTTCCTCACATGATGTCTTTGGGGGGCTGGAGTAAGAGTACTGTGGGTAAGGCACTTGCCTTTGTTTCCCACAAGCAGGGCAAACACCCCCCCCCTATTGTACTATTGCTCCGGCCCCCCATAACTGCTCTGGAACATCGAATATGTCACTAACCCTGCACTTGTCTTCTTGGAGAGCCAGCCCCTACTGATCCAATGGCCACAAAGTTGGTCTCAGAGACCTCTGATAGTGACTGACCACTGTCCACTAAGAGCTGACCCATGTCATGCCCATCAGATCCTCTCTCCTGGAAATATATAATTGGGATGCCGAGTCGCTCTCAGCTGCTCTGAACTGAGGCCATGTACAGTTTAGGGCATCAGGTGGGCATGTTTGGCACTGGGAGAGCTCAGATGGGAAGTGGCAGGGATGCTGCACTCAGTTCTGCTGCGCCTTCTACCTGGGAGCTCTGCGCCCACACTGTGTGCCAGCAGCTGCTTGGAAAGAGCCCAAATGCTGAGCTGAATGTTGGTCTCACACCCCCACACCCCCAGGACAGCTCACCGTCATACCGGGCCTTCTCTCTCAAGTGACCCTCACCGGTCCTCCAGTCCCTTTGGCAAAAAAAAAAAAGCATGAGTCTGGGGCCTGGGTAGAACTCAGTAGAGCATCTCAGTAGAGCACCTGCCTGACAGATGTGAGTCTGACCCCTGGCACATGCATAGTGGCTACCCGGGGAGCACGACGGGGGTGGGGGGGTGATCCTCAGGGTCATGAGAGCACCATGTCTGGAGCACGGAAACCAAGGGCCAGTCTCCAGGCCATTGCAACAGCAAACAAAAACAAAGAAGGGAAGGGAAAGGGTGAGGGAAGATGAAGCACAAAGCTGCCATCCAGCCATCGTACCTCAGGTCGGCCAATGCTTCTGCGAACACGAGCTCCAACCCCTTCTGACTGCTCCCGGCTGAGCACTGAGAAAGCAACCTTCTTGATGGACGCCATGTCAGAGTCCCAAACCAGAGGGTCTTGGTGCTAATCTGTGGGGGATGGGGGCCAAGGGAAGGAAAACAAGAAGAAGTCAGAAACCAGGGACTGTACAGAAACAAAGAGATTCCTTCACGCTTGCTGGAAGTAGGGGCATCTACATTCTCTGGGCTGAAAACAAGAATGATGGTGGAGGTACAGGAGGCATCACTATTTGTGCAAGTTATCCCACGGAATCCTCTAACTACTTGGCCAGGTGTAGCGATTCTGGCTCCGGTGGGCTGATATTACTAAGACCCGCCCCTGAACGATTATCAGTTGGATGTCTTTGAAATCTCTCGACCCTGCCACCCATGGGGCATGTGGTACCAGGGAGTTTAGGACTGATGGGTATGGCAACTGACAGGGAACATGGAGAGCTTCTGTGACTTTCACCAGAACACCCTGAAGATCTTGACAATGGGGAAGGGATCTTTGAGTCATCTAAGACCCTTGCGTCACTGCAGTTGAGGGCCAACTTCTCTGGCAAAGACACTTGTGAGCTTTCTTGACACAGGAAGTTCACAGAGGAGAATGACAACGCAGTCAGTATTTCAGAACCGATCTAGTCTCCAGGACTCTTGTTCAAAAATGTGTCCTGGGAGGCAGGGAGATAGTGCAAAGGCTGAGCACACAAGGCTTTGGAGAGCACTCCTGCCAAGACACCGCAGGGTCCCCTGCAATAAAATACCCAGAAACAATGAGCTGGGAGGAGCCCTTGAGCACTGCCAAGGTATGGCCCAGCCCACCCAGCCCCTGCGTGGGGGTCTCCAAGTTCTACTCGGTGGAATATCACAGAACATGGATTATTGATCCATCTCCACTACAAACGCTGTTGATAGCCCCCCATCTCTAAAGTGCTCCTTCAAGCGAAATCTAGCGCATTCTTTAGAAGATTCCTACTCAAACCAAGAGAGATGCTTTTAGCAAGCAACCGAAACTCTGGAGCCAGAGAGATCCGGTTTGCATCCTGGCCTCACCATATGCTAGCTTGAGCACCTGGCACCAATTGTGAAGCCTCACCGTACCTCCATTTCCCCATGTGTAAAGCGGGGGCCAATGAGGCAGCCTATGGGGTGTGGTCCGTGCTCTAAAGTGTGAGCGGCTGTCAGACAGAACACTTTACTGATGTGCTCTCCATCAGTCGAGGACCATCCTAAGTTGTGCCTTCCACCCGCAATCAATATTTATTGGCTTCGGGACTCTGGGGGTACAGACTGGAACTGAATTCTCAAAGCCGGAGAGAATTGTCATCAACTGCATCCATGCTACAGAATGCCTTTGAGCCCCTTCTCGGTTAGTTCTGGGTCCTTCCAGACTGCAATTCCGTGCCAATAAACAAGTGATGTCGTGCTTCACAGAAAGAAACGCGATTCCTTTCACTTGCACCACATTCAGTTAGTTTATTTAAGCATCTCGGGTGCCTCCCTCCGAGGCTTCCTAAGGAGGCGCGAGCAGCCTGGGGGAGGCAGGATACAATCCTCCCAGCCCCCCAACTCTGGCGGGGTGTCTGGGTACTCACGTGGTCGTCAGCTGTCAGGTGGCTCAGGAGCCGCACGCGTCCCAGCAGAGCTTCACCTTGGTGGGGACGAGGGGCCACAGAAAAGGAGGCGCGGGGAGGCGGGGCGAGGGGTGGGAAGCGGAGAGCATGGAAGGAGGCGGGGCTCGGGGAGAAGGGCGAGGGGAAGGAGGCGGGGCCTGGGAGGGAGGCGGGGCCCGGGAGCGGGGCTCGTGGGAAGGAGGCGGGGCCTGGGAGGCGGGGCCCGGGAGGGAGGCAGGGCCCGGGAGGGAGATGGGCCCGGGAGCTGGGAGCTGGGAAAGGAGGCGGGCCGTGGGCGGGAGGCGGGGCCGGGGAGGTGGGCGCTGGGGAAGGAGGCGGGGCCAGGCAGGGAGGCGGGTTTCGAGAGCGGGGCCTGGGAGGGAGGCGGGGCCCGGGAGGGAGGCGGGGCCCAGGGAGCAAGGCGGGGCCCGAGGACTGAGGCGAGTCCCGTGCAGCAAGTCTTGCGGGAAGGAGGCGGGGCCTGGGAGGGAGGCGGGACCCGGCAGGGAGGCGGGGCCCGGGAGGGAGGCAGAGCCCGGGAGGGAGATGGGTCCGGGAGCGGGGCGCGGGGGGAGGAGGCGGGGCCTGGGCGGGAGGCGGGAACCGGCAGGGAGGCGGGAACCGGGGCCCGGGAGCAGGGCGCTGGGGGAGGAGGCGGGGCTCAGCAGGGAGGCGGGTCTCGGGAGCGGGGCCTGGGAGGGAGGCGGGCCCCGGGAGGGAGGGGGGCACGGAGCGCGGGGAGGTGACCCTAAAGTTGAGAGACGGCCTGAGCACCAAGAGGCTGGGAGCAGGGAGGTGGCCCGAGTGCAAGGAGGTGGGGCACACAGAAGAGGGGCGGCGGCCAGAACTGTGGGAGGCGGGCACGGCGGGACGGGTGGAGCGCCACAAGGCGGGGTGCCGGGAGTGAGACGGGGCGCAGCCAGGGCGGGCCGGGAGGGTCGGGACTCTGCATCCTCACCGTGACTCAGCGCTTCGTGGCCCACGGCCGCCCGAGGGTAGACGGAGTCTGTAGGTCTCCGGGCCCTGGGTGGATCTGACACTTCTCTGAGGACGCGCTGCGCCCTCCCCGGACCCCGATTCTCACGCAACCCCGCTCGCCCTGTTGACCTCTTTCTCCCTGCGTTTGTGAGGACGCTGGCCCCCGGGATGGGTAGGGGTGCTGGACAGGCGCTCTTATCATGGCACAGGTCCGGACTGGACCCCAGATCCCAGGAAAATCTGTAACTTGTGTATTGCATATTGCCCGGGTTCGAATTCTGTCTCCACCGTTTGCTAGGTCATTCCCGCTGTAAGATGGGCCTCAGGTGAGAACACTATGGATCTTGTAGCTTAGTGCTGAGGATTCAGCGAGCCTAGTACTCCTTAGCCGTGATGTAAGTTCTCGACAGTTTGGCAGTGGCATCCACCGGGATGGACGAGCCCTAGAGTGTTTTTCCCGGGTGTGTGTGTGTGGGGGGGGGGGTGCCGCGCTTGCAGAAGCCAGTGAGGAACCCCGCTAGGATTCCTTCCCAGGACTACAGTCTTGGCTGTAGGATTCTGTTCTCCCAACACAAAACTGCTCGTGGTGTAGTTTTGGGAAAGGAAAGTCAACCTGGCCTCTAAAACCGGAGTCAACAAAGTGTAAAGGATCAAATAGTAAATATTTACCATCTGCACCACAACTGTTCCCTGTGGAGGTGTTCCAGCTGTTTTTGTAGAATAGCCATCACAGAATAGCCATCCACATGTAAATAAATGGGCATCTGGATTTCAATAAAACTTGACTCATGGATACTAAAGTTTGAATTTCATATAATCTACACTTGTCATGAAGCGTTCATCGACATCTTAAAATTGCAGAACTACTTTAACCACAGGTTGTAAAAACTAGTAATGGACTAAAATGGACTGCATGCCTGCTTCGTAGACCTTGCTTTAAACAGATTAGTAGGGAGAAGGGTCTTTGCCCTGGATCCTTATAGATTGTGGGAGTTACACCACCCTTCCCCGTTTCTTAGTTTAAGGCTCAATGAGTTAATACAAACGAACATTAAAAGGGCCATAGAGTAATAAAATTTTCTTGAAGTGGGGCCATACCCGTCTATGCTCAGGGGTTACTCCTGCCTCTGCACTGAGGAATCATTCCTTGCAGTGCTTGGGGGGGACCATCTGGAGTGCTGGGGATCGAACCCAGGTTGGCTGCATGCAAGGCAAGCACTGTACTATATCTCTCCAGCCCCATGGAGTAATAAACTATGCCAAACACAATAACAACAAAGTCTCAAGATGGAGACATTACTGGGCCCGCTCGAGCAAATTGATGAACAATGGGAGGACAGTGACAGTGACTTGTGACCTTTATACTTATGCGGTTGTACCCAAATAAAGTAAAAATGTGGGCTAAATACTGTGGTACTTTGTGAGCCTTAGTAAATGCTCCTGCATTTTGCCAAAACCTAAAGTTCTTTCTATTGCCTAAACTTGAAATGCCAACACTCCTCACTCTTCACCTTGAAAGCCGGAGGATTCTACCCTTCACAGCCCTTAGTACATCCAGCCCTTCCCTTTCCACTGCCATCTTCCATCAGTTCTGAGAGCTAGCCCACTCTTCCTGTCTTCAGGTTTGCCAGTGAAATAATTGTTCAAAACCTTCATTGCCTTCCAAGGAAAACTCAAGGCTGAAATGATAATAGCACAGCGGGTAGGGCTTTTGCCTTGCACACAACTGACCCAGGTTCGATTCTCAGCATTGCATATGGTCCTCTGAGCACTGCCAGGAGTAATTCCTGAGTGCATGAGCTAGGAATAACCCCCGTGCATCGCCAGGTGTGACCCAAAAAGCAAAAAAAAAGTCTCTCTTCCAGAGAAAATTCTATGATCTTGAAAGAGGAAGCCTCAGTTTCCCCTTGCCAGTGAGAGAAAAAGCCACAGTTTTCTCCTGCCAGATGCTCCATCTCTTCCCTATATCACCCTGATACACATTCCACCCCCAGGGTTCTGTCTCAGCATTCGTGGGGTTTCCCAGGAACATAAAACTCGGCCCTGGAGCGTAGGCTGACGGGGGAAACTAGGGTACTGGGCCTTGATGCCTGGAGAGATTTAGACCAGCTAGCCTTCCCCGTGATTTTCACGGCATCTTTTGTAAATTCTTGTCAACCAATAAAAGACGCAAGGAGACTTAAAAAGGGCACACACAAAACTCCCTTTTAACTTGGTCCTAAATCTATGTTCCTCCCCACTTGGGGGCTTCTTTTCTACTTTCCAATAAACTTTTCTACTTTCCAACTCTGAGTCTGAGCATCTTTATTATTCAATATTTTCAAGAGTGAAGATATTGAAGAACCTGGGAATTGCGAATGAGCAGAGACCCGCTACTGCTGCTTCTGCCTCTCCTGCATCAATATCTTTAGCTTGCCCTCACCCTCAGTATGTGAACTTGCTCAAGGCCACACATACACACACACACACACACACACACACACACACACATACCTCCTCACTATGCTGAATTTGATAGGCTCTGTACTCGTACTTGTTGGCTCACTGGACCTCTGCTTGGAACTTTCCACTCAAGGTTTCAATGTCATTCCCATTGGGAAACGCTTCCCATCTGTCCTTTCAAATCTAGGTGGGGTGTACGACTGGCAGTATTCATACCTAGTTGTTGTTTATTATCGTCTAGAAGATTATGTTTTCTTGAGATCCACTCCGACAGGATCTCCCATCTCACTGTTTTCCTCTGCTATGTAACCTTGCCCTCTCTCTTTAAAAGAATTTTTTTTCGCTGGAGCGATAGTACAGCGGTAGGGCGTTTGTCTTACACGCAGCCAACTCTACTGATCTGGGTTCAATTCCTCTGCCCCTCTAGGAGAGCCCGGCAAGCTACCGAGAGTATCTCAGCCGCACAGCAAAGCCTGACAAGCTACCCATGACGTATTCGATATGCCAAACACAGTAACAACAAATCTCACAGTGGAACGTTACTGGTGCCCGCTTGAGCAAATTGATGAACAACAGGAGGACAGGGACAGGGACAGGGACATGTAACCTTGTCCTCTCTCTTCAAAAGAAGTTTTTTTTTGCTTCTTCCCAAGTGTAGGCAGGGCTTGCGGCTGTCTTGACCAATGCAACACAGTGGAAGTGACATTGTGCCAATTCTGGGCGTGACCCTGAAATGGCCAGGTAGCTTCTGGTTCCTGCCTCTTGGAAGCAAACCAGCAATGACCCCGAGACCACCGTTCCAGGAGCACCCCATGGCACAAGGAACAGAAGTCCTGAGGAGAAGGTGGCATGTGCAGAAAAAAATCTTTGCTCAAGGAAGCTGAACCCCAGATGTGGACGAAGAACCCACCTTGGGGAGTAGGGCTGCCAGTGCCAGCTACCCCAGCAACTGCCAAGTGAAAAGAAAAGCACATCTCACCTCCTTCCTGATTTGCTGCCTCACAGACTTAGGAGCAAATTAAACGTTCTTTATTTTTCTTTCAGGGTCACATCCGACGATGCACAGGGGTTACTCCTGGCTCATGCAATCAGGAATTACTCCTGGCGATGCTCGGGGAACCATATGGGATGCTGGGAATCGAACCGGGGTTGGCCGTGTGCAAGGCAAACACCCTACCTGCTGTGCTATTGCTCCAGCCCCCTAAATGTTCATTTTAAGTCACACGGTTTCCGCGTGTTTTTTTCCCTCTCTGGTAACTAGAAAATGTGGAGAGATGGGGCAAATTTCAAAACTCTAGGCTAAAGAAAGCCTCACAAATATTTCCTTTCAGAATGTGGGTCGGTTCATTTAAACTGTATTCCCAAGGGAAGCGGCCATCCATTCAGAGAGACAATTATTAAAGTCTCTCTGGAGGGATTAAATGTTGCATTCCACCCATTAGAACGGGATCCTCTGAAAGACTCCTCTGTTCCAAGTCTAACGACTTGATTAGAAAAGAAAATGTAGTTGGAAAGGAGAGAAGGATGTCACTGTCCATTTCTATCCATTACTGGACTGGATTTGCGATACTTCTTGGGGACTGCTTGCCCTCTCACAGCTTTTCAAAGCTCACCCCTCCTCGGAAACCATAGCAGGAAGCAGAGTGCCTTCATTTTTGTCTTGGAGAA